CATTTGTACTGAGATTAGATTACACACAGGTGGACCCTTTTGAGTCATTAGCAGTCATCAGGCAACTTCTGAATGCACGTCGCACTTTTCAGTTTTTTATTTGTAAAAAATGTTTTGATTCATGTAAAATTTTGCTTCCACTTCACAATTGTATACCACTTTGTGTTGGTCTTTCACATTAAATTCCAGTGAAATATATTTATGTTCGTGGTTGTAATGTGACAAAATATGGAAAAGTTCAAGGGGTATGAATACTTTTGCAAACCACTGTATTGTCTCTTTTTGCCTCATGTGTTATATTTACTGTATTTTTGCCCCTTTTCTCAAATATGTCATCTCGCTGCTGTAATGTGTAAATTTTTCCTGCTGTGGATCAATAAAGCACCATTTTATCCTATTTAACAACATGTGTACATTCACTGAGATTACTCTTTTGTGTCTGAAGCAACAAAAATGAACTGAAAAATCATCTGACTGTAGAAAACATCTCTATTAGTATATTTTGTTTACAGAGGAAACCAGGACAAGAGTCATTCAAAGGTAAAGTGTCACATTTAAAGTCAGTGCATGGCCAAGTTTAACAACAATCCTGACTGTCCTGTGAGAGGGTAACACCAGTCAGAATGAGATCATGAGATCTGAGTGAGTCTGTGGTTTTAGCTTAAAGCACTTTTTCTCCGATGCATTTCTCACATTCTTCTGCAGAGGCTCAAAAAGGAGAAAGCAACTTTTTTGAGGCCATTTAGAAAAATGTTAGAGCTTCTAATGTTTTTGTTATTTTTATTTTTTTCTGGTGCAAACATTTGGACTGCATGAGACCAGAGGTAAAACCTAATCAACAGAGGTCCAGAAGGAGCACCATAACAAAGCAGAGGGAGAGTTACTGCAACCAGTCTAGAATGCACATTCCATCTGAAAGCTTTGTGTGCAAATTCATTCTCACGTTTTTAAAGTACCTGTTTTATAGCTAGTTTCTCATGGACTAACTGGGGCAAGAGGAATAATAGTGACGTTTGTAGGACAGAGTTTTTCAGCTGGGTGTGCGGCTGATGCAGATGGGAAACAAAGAGTAAAGAGAGCCATCTAGTGGTTTTAACAAAGGCATACAAACTGCACCGTCATAAAACACATTTTCAAAAATGGTTGGTACTGGTTTTACGTTAAGAATTAAAAATAAAAGTCAAAGAGTTCAAGTGCTTGAAAAAAACATTTTGAAAGTCATCACAGTCAAAACTAAACTGTGTTGATTCATAATTATTTTTTAAGACCCACCGGTTGTGTTAATCATGCTTTTGGGGGTTGCAGAGGCAGCAGCAAAGATGTTGGGGGTGCTGCAGGTTGTAAGTCCAGGAGAGGTGCTGCTGCTGACGGTTCCCTGCGTGTTCACTGGTAAACTGCCAGGGGAGGTTTTCTTCAAGGGGACCACCACACTCCTACAGAAAATAAGCATGGACAATAAATAACTTAGGCATTATAAGGTATGTGTGAAAAACTAATATCAAAATATCCTGAAATATACAAAGGCTTTTTTTAAACGACTGTAAAAAAACAGCTCAATAAATACAGGAATAGGCTGTAAAATCTGTAATAACTCAATGTAGATTAAAGAGGCTGTAACAGAGAACTTAAACCAAGACCATTTTATTTTTTTCTCCCAAATTGTTGTTGTACAACTTAACAAAATATGATAATCAACAATTGTGGGTGAACCTCCCATTTTTTATTTTATTTTATTTTATTTAGCAATTTTATTTTCCAAGATTAACAAACTAGCCCAGGGTGTCTATAACAGTTTTAGACTTCACGAATTGTCTTAAAACAGCTTAATCTTGGTAAAGTCAATACTTAATATATTAATTAAATATCCCCATAATAAAACAAATCCATTATGTAAAAAAATAAGAAAAATGCATGTTAGTAATTTTTGGTGATTTTTGTGGTAAGGTTTTCAATGTTTGAAACTGATGGATTTGTTGTATTTTCAATAACCATGGTGAACATTTATCTGACGTTTAATATATATTATGTCCTTATTAAAATATAAATATTTTGTTTGAAGGTGTAGACAGCTTAAACATATCTAAACATTAGTTAGCCCCATAAAAACACTTGTAATTCATATTTTTAATTTAAAGCAAACACATGTATGCACATGAGACATACATAAATAACTAACCAAATAAAAATAAATAAAAACATAAATTCAGGCTATTACATTTTATTTTATATTTGGTGCTGCCGGTGGTTCTCATCAGCTCGTATAACAAGAGCTATAAACAGCTAACAGACTCTGCAGGATAAACTTGTTGGCAACAAAATAAAATAAATGAATTACAATCTGGGTTTAAAAAATATCACAAGAACTGCTCATGATACCAAAACTAATCAATTTTGTTTTATTTGAAAAACAAACAAAAAAACTTTTACAACTTTCAGCCAACTAAACTTGAGCTGCAAAGAACATTTTTTTTACTATTTCAGAAATTTTAATGAATTAAATTCTTGACTGAATCACTGTGTTGGACAACAACAGTAAAAAAAAAACTGTTTTCACTTTATATATAGAATCTACCACACAGAGTAGTACATGGTGCTAGAATTTGAATAGACATTTTTTTGGTGTCACCAAAAAGACACACAAAAAAAAAGACAATTAAATAATTAAACATGTTAGGAAACAAAGTTTGTAGAATCTGGACCTGAGGATTGTGTAACCTCGTGTGCTAGAAAGCTCAGAAACACCAGAAACTCAGCAGAGCGTCCTTCACATGTGCTCTGATTGGGTCAGGATTAAAAAGGCTGCTTTAAGCTGGGCCCTGTGAGAGCTCCCGGACAGCGAGGAGAAGAAAAGCTTGTCCTTATCAGGTCTGCAGCTGGCCTTAGAGTTTGTGAAGGTGCCAGATAATGTCTCACTCAGTGTCCTGCAGTTACTCTGGGTGACAGAGGCCAGGCCTGTGCCCTGTCACAGGCTAAGCCTGTTGTCATCTGCAGCAAATCCCCAGATATCCTGCCTTCACAAAACAACACAGATTTTTTTGTCTTTTTTTTTGTTGCTGTTTTATGTCCACAGCCCATCCTGCAGATCACAAGACAGGAACATGCTACAGGAAACACAGCTTATATTTGCAGTTGCTTTGCAATTAATTTGACTGTGCAAGTTATTTGCTTAAAATAGTCCATGTTATATTTGATTCAGCAGAACACGTCTTCCTCTGTAGATAAATCAAACAAAAAGTGCATACTGAGAAACAATATTTCCTAGTGGTCGACCATATAACAACATGCTAAATCAAAAACAGAAAAAAAAAGGCGTAACGCTTCTCAAACGAACACATAGAGATATTTTGCTAACAAACAGACAAGGGCAAAAACATCATCACCTGCTTTTCATCTTTTGGTGACTGGCAATACGTATATTGATTTAAATTCAAAAGATCAAAATCACAAATGGGAGGAGGAAAGAAAAATCGAGTAAAGCGTCACTTGAAACCTTACTAGAATATTAATATCAGCTGTGCTCTGAAGAACACTGATGATGAGCATCATTTATTTAGTGGAGCTGGGTACAGTTATCGCCAGTGAAATTGCACTGACAGATTTCAGAACATAAGCAACATGTTTTGATTGCAGGAACTGAGTGTGAGTTTCATCTTGCTCTCCCAACGCATCCTTTGCTCATATGTTCCAGCGGAAGCCGGCCTCTTCTTTGGCAAGCCTGAGACACTACATTAGATCTACAGGATGTTGATAAAACGTGGACCTCCTTCCATGAATTATTCATTAGTCAAGTGCTCATGAATCATGTATAGATTATCTAGTGCATATTTTATTAATAGGATTGTCTTAATTGAGTTGCAGAGAATAAAGCAAGGATTAATCTTAGGATGAATATTAATGAGGTCTGTGGCGATGGGAGATAACTTCAGCGGAAAGTATGACCAAAGAAATGTTTCCTTTATAAATTCTAAATAAGATCCTAATCCAATAGTGCTTTATTAAGAAACAGTGAAAGTTATAAAAGAAATATTCTGTGCTTATGCTCCACACCCAAATCCAATAACGGTTATCACTGCTCTCCATCATGTGGAAACTAAAGACAAACAATTTCTAACTTCAAGAGTTGGGAGAGAAAAGAGTGAAAAGTTGAGGATTACTAATTTTTTCATTTTGTGTTAAGAAAAGTCTGGATATTATGCAACTTAAACCTGTTCTCTAAGACAGACTGCCTCAGTAAACACTACTTCAAGCCATTTTTTTCTCCGTTTTTTTTTTTTAATGTTGTCGCTCCCAATCTATTTTTGCCCTGACAGACAAATGAAAGGCCTTTCCATTGTTGGCAGCTCATTTTGCAGGCAGGTGGCGAACAATTAGACACAGCAAATAGAGGCGAGGGCGGGGGGAGTGGCATGAAAAGCAGGAGACAAAGTTGTAAATGTGATCTGGAGGCTTTGTGTGAAAGCATTTCAAAAATAATACTCTTCGCTGTGGCGATTCATTTCAGGCTGCCAGTTCCCATTATGGATGTGAGGGGTGAGGATGATGGCCGGCCATGGTGTGGTGCTTGGTCACTTCTGTTCAATCTGTCATCAACACCCAGGAGACCCCCCTACCCTGTCAGCTGTCCTTTCTCCACATGCC